CTTCTGAATATTATTTTATACTTGTAATATTCCAAATCTCTGTTTGTTTGTTCAATAAATTTTGATACTTTGTAGAAGATGACTTATGTATTTATTGGAGACAAACTTATGATATAGCGTTATGTCTAATAGAACATTTTAATAGAGTGAAACGTATATATATATATATATATATATATATATATATATATATATATATATATGCCATGGGTGTTTATATTTATAATATGTATGTATTTAAAGTTATATATGTGTAGTGTATCAACTACTAGATGGTGTTGTGTGTTAATGTCCTGACATATTTATTTATTATTATTATTTATTATTTGGTGGATTTACATGCAAATTGGCTACATTATTCTTTGATGAGCCTTGGGACCATCATTAACAGTAAAGGTTGTTTCGAAAAAGAATTTCTCCGGGACCTTGGATCGAACTGTGCGAAAATTTTCTCAATGGATATTACATAATATTTACTTACGTCTCATAACACTTCATAAACATTGCGCCCGTTCTTCTTTACTTAGTACGTTATTTCGTCCGCAAACTTGAGTTTGTATGTTAAAATAAAGCCCTCAGTGTCAGAGCGATCGAGCTTCCCTATCTAGGGAAGCCTAGGCAGTTTTTTTTTAGAAAAGCTATATTATAAAGTTAAAAAGCGAAACCTTATCCTCATACAAAATTTGATCCAAATCGTTAGAGCCGTTTTATAAATAAATTTATATAAATATTATGTATAGAAGAATTGCTCATTTAATATAAGATAGATGCTAATAGAATAATATTCTCAGTAATAAAGCTCTTACATATTATAGAAGCAATAATGTAATATCCATCGTTCCTAAACGATTTATTTATATGAGATTAGAAATAAACTTTCATGAATATAAATATAAATATGTTGGGACATTACACACAGCACCATCTAGTTCCATGGTAAGCTACGAGACCTGTGTTAGGGATACTGGATAGTTGATACACCACACATAAATAACTTTAAATACATACATATTATAAATATAAACACCCATGACTGAGTACAAACATTCGTCATCAAACAAATGAATGCCCCCAGCAGGACTCGAACCCGCTGGCAACAGCAAGTAGGGTCACTACAAACTGAGCCAAACGTGTCGTCAAATGAATATTTTATACTGGTGTATATACACGATATAAGAGTGTATAGGAAAGAAATTACAGAGCAGCGATAGATATCGACCCGTGGTACGTAGTTCCTTGAAATTTGCAACTACGTAAATGGCTTAAGAAAGTAGCTAAATTATAATTTTACGATCTAGACATCAAACAGATTTCATTTTTAGTGTACGCTGTAATGAAATGTAGAATTAAAACATGACTTGTACGTTTTGAATATTTAATAGAATGTACAAATTGAAATAGAAGAAACTATTTTATTTACATAGGACTCTTTTCTTCCATCTCTTGTGCGTTTGTTCCACGATGTTAGAGTCGATATGTAGAATTTGTAAGGCACTCTCTATTCCTATCACTCTCATACTCCGGTGGGACGACCACTAGACACGACCGGTGAGAGTTAAGGCGCAGGACCGACGGCTTTACGTGCTCTCCGAGGCACGGGGGTGAAACACCGCCAACTTCCCAACTCCGGGCTGTTACTGAAACTTACTATACAGGAAGACTCAATAACTAAACTTGGCCCGACCCGGGACTCGAACCCAAGACCTCCGGGTGTGCAGCCGTACATGCTAGCCACTACACCACCGAGGCAGTTAAAAAAAAAAATAATGCTGTTATTATTATTTAAAAAAATAAAGAAACGTTTACTTAGAGTAAACCTTGATAACTTCAATATTTAAGGTACTTTTCTTACATGTTCCATTGATTTGTTCCACTCTGTATAAGGAAGGATGTGATGGGGAATATCCATATTATAAAGAAGATTAATTTATATCATTTTGAAACCAAATTATTCATAGTTTATAACTATACTTCATTTAAGACTAAAGATTTGTATAGCTTTGTCCGTAACGAGGCCATTATCATCCAGATCTCCAATGATAAAAATATATGTGATTCTTTCCAATTAACGTAATTGCTATTTAGCAATCATTATATTGACCTTAGTTGGTTAATATTTTTATAAAAAAAGCTTATTTGATAAAAACCCAGAATGGAGGACCTAAAGAGAAATAAGGAAAAAATATACGAGACATATCTGAATTCGAATGTTTATTTTCAAATTTCGGCGACAATATAAAACGTATGTTTACATATTGTATATTTAAATACGAAAATCTAAGCTCGAAGCTAAAATTGTGAGTTATGTAATATTCAAATGTGGAATACGGGATAATGCGTACATATGGAAGTTTACAGCTCATCGTAATCAAGTGTAATATGCCTATATCATTTACCAAGCAGTGGGAGTGCTTGCAAGCTATAATTAATGGGTACGATATTGAAAAACAACATGAATGGAAATGGAAAAACATTCATCTGCATCCTTTTTTTAGGCTTTACGTTTTTCTTGGAGTATTGAGTTTAGATAGAGAACGTAAAATTCAACACGTACTTTGTCTTTAGTTATTAGTCAAATTTGAGTTTTACAATACGGCTTTGCTTCTATATTTAATAAAAAAATTATTAAAAGTGTGTGTGTGTGTATGCATGTCACTCACGATAGAAGTGAAACTTCTTGGCAAATATCTCAATTAAATTAAAACAAACCTATAATCAAATAAGGCATATTAGGCATTTTACAATCATATATATATAGAATATAGTATACGGAAAGAATATAATATTGTATATTTGTCAGACAATAACAACGGTTACCATGGCAACGATTAGTCATAATAGCTTTTATTTAATTTATGCACATTTATCCCACAGTAATAAATATTCATTTTTATTATAAGTAATAAGTTTAGTTTTTTACTCTGTTTAAAAGTTATTTTACATTTTAATTAACATAATAACATATTATTTAGTATTATTTTTGACTATCTGTGTAACGTATTCTATCTCATTCTTTCATCGGCGTAATCCTATATATAACTTATGTGTCTCTTTCTCGTGGCGCATTTCCGTTTTATCAAGTTTCAAATCACAACGATTCTAAAATATTCTGTCTAGTGCTTAGTCAGTACAGTCAGGTTCTAAGCAGATATAAAACGTGACCCAGCCTTGTGGCAAGTGCGAATTCAAAGTTGATATTTTAGGAATTAATAATAAATAAGCAAAAACCTTTATACGGAATTTATATTAAAGTGATCAGTTTATTTACAATAAACAAAATCACAAATATACTTAATTATATATACAAAACAAATGTACACTTAGTTATTAGTTAATTAAATTTAATATTGTTGCATTTTTTCTTTTGGAGCTTTTACCAAACCTAATCGTTTTTATAGCGCAAGAGCTTCTGCTTATACCGTTGGAAGGAGTTGGAAAACTTAAATTAAATTAAGCCACAGTTTTAATTCTGACCTTACTCGTATTTTATTTTTAATCTGTAGAAGAAAACGAACGGATAAAAATTAAATATTTTAGTATTCACTTTTCTTACTTATATACGTCCTAAATGAAAAAAAACTTTCATGGTCAAAATGGAAAAAAAAACTTTAGTGGAATTTTGTATAGATTATTTATTATTATAGTTTCTTACTTAAGTTTATTTCCCAATAAAATAAGGTTACGTCAATTAGCATTAGGAAGAGAGATATATGTTCGTCACTTTGCAATATTATGTCTTTACACAATACATATTATGAACGCTAAGTTTCTCAAGGCGTAAAATACGAGGTAATACCAGTTTTATGTTCCAAGTAACGTAGTGCAGTTCGTACGCCATTTGCCGAGTTGTGCAAGTGCTCGTAAACACTAATTATCTCCAGCTAACTGTAGCTCTTGAAAATTCTTAACTATATGAATATAATATTTATTATGTATCTATACTAATCGACGATAATTCTTCTAATATTATAAATGTGAAAGTTTGTGAGAATATATTAAATGGCTTAACCGATCTGGATGAAATTTGGCACAGAGATAGATTATTAGTCTTGAATAGCACATAGGTTACTTTTTATCCCGAAAAAATGTACGGTTTTAATAGATTTGTTTTTGTCTAGAAATGAACCCAAAGCGAAGCGTCATAGATAAATGTTAGCCAAACATTTTATCTCATTCATTTTTCTTAATCGTCAATTTTTAATGTTACGAACCCATACACAGCCCTAACACTCAAAAGCACTTTGCAATATAACACTGTACTTTACACTTCACCCCAGAGTTGGAAATCAGCACACGTATTTTAGCTGGTTACACATTTAATAGAAAATTATTTTGCGCCTTTACTTTAGCTAAATCTACTGACAGACAACTCGTTTTGTCTAAAGTTCCATCTTGCTTCTTAACTTTCTTCAATTATTCACTCACTCATTCGTTCACTTACTCTCTCACGTACATCTATCTCATTTCTAAAATATTGCTATAGATCAACACTTTTATTTTACAATAATATCCCATAGAAATCCACGGTAGTTACTTGATAATTTAGGGAAATAAGCAGCCTTTGTATAATGTTAATCAAAATGGTAAATGGTGTAAAAAGGACAAACCGATAAACACACTTTTGCATCTGTAATATTAGAAAAGATATACACATACGAGTGTATTATGCATTTAACATTTGACACTGTCCTTTGAACGAGGTTGTGGTTTCGATAAAACCTTTAAACACTAATATTTTATTGATCAGACATATAATATGTCCTAGAATATTCTCAAAAAGTGAATGGGTGGGCAGTATGTTGTACGGTGACAAGGCTAGGTTCGACAGTATGTTTAAATTATCTTAGTGCAAAAAACCTTTAATTAAATAGGTTTTTAATGATATTTAGAATTTTTATTCTTAAAAATGAAATGTCTCTAAATTATGCAAAACAAACAAAATTAAATGGAGATATTATATAACATTGTGTTTATAATACGATAATTATATTATTTTACAGAGAGCTGGGGTCAAACTGACGGTCATCGCTTCACGTATCCCGCCTCACCTCTCCTGACACAAGGTGCTGATGTAGCTCCTGAAGACATATGTCCAAAGGAGCCCGGTCAAGGCGAAGAGTGCGTCCACGTGAAGCAGGTGCCATTGCATTCTACAGTGGAAATAATTATGTTTGATCAAGGTAAATATTACATATACATATATATATATATATATATATATATATATATATATATATATATATATTAATTTCTACACGTGACTTTGCTTATGTAAAAAATCTTCTTTCAATGCTATTGGTCGCCATCTTTAATACATACTGAACTAAAGTATTATTAATAATATAAAAGTTGACCTATGACAATGGAACACATAACCAGGATAAACAGTCTTGTATAAGCTAGTCCTGGATATTAACTATCTGCATGATTAGTTTTATCCTTATCTGTTCAATGATGAACACTTGATTAAGAATAAACATACAAACATCCTCACAAATTTTATATTTATAATATTAATGAGTTTTCTTATGTCTGTCTGTATACTTTCTTCTATTTGTCTTGTTCTTCTATCTCTTTTTGTCGTTTTGATAAATTAACCCTTAAGGGGTGAGAGGTGTCAAAGTAAAGAAAAATAGTTTGCACGTATAAATGTTTGTTCTTCAGAGCCCCGTGTTGTTTTAAACTACGTGAGAACGATACATTTACTACAATAAGAGTACGTTCAAAGTTTAAATTAACACTGAAAAATGTTGCTATAATGATATATTGTTATTTTTTCATAGTAATCTTATTATTTTAGTTAATTCCATGTAAGCTTTAAACGTATAAATAACATTTGTTAATTATAATAATGTTTCGAAATCCCGGGAAATGCGAAATGTTAGCAAATAACACGTATATATTTAGTATATTTTTATCACTTAAATTCACTGTGCAGCTATGTTTGGTAAAGGTAAATATGGCTTATTAAATGTTAGCTTAAATTTTATACCGGCCGAGAATATTCTCGATAATTTCAACAGCAGTCGCACTGAGCCGCGGAAGGGATTACACGGTGGATTCATATTAATGAGTTTTGGGATTGTTTTGTTTTATAGTCGGGTTAAGTTAATTTTTGGTTATTTATTTTTGTTAATATTATGTATCCATGGTGATAAAAAATATCCTATGCCCTTATACGAGATATAAGATATTTCCATTCCGAATTTACTTTAAATCCGTTGAACCCTTATAGTGCAAATGAATTAGTAAACACACTCACTCACGAACATCCACAAATATTGATTGCTGTAAAGCATTTGTAACTTTGGGGACCAAAAATCAAAATAAACCTGTAAAAAAATCCGAAAAGATAGTTTTATTTAAAATGACAAATATTCGCGTAAATCTAAGAAAATAATAAATATTAACATTTACTAGTTTACCCGCGCGGCTCCGCTCGAGTGGTTCGTCTTTAAAAAGCCAAAGTATGTGTTATTCTAGGGTATGTGACTTTGTGGTGTTAACCAGGATATATACTATCTCTATTATGAAATGCACTCATGTCCGTTGAGCCATTACAGAGTGAAGAAGACACACACACACACACACACACACACACACATACACAATCTTCACATCTGTATAATCTGTATACATAAATATTATAAATTTTTGTGAGTATGTATGGATGTTTGTTACTCTTTCACGCCAAAACGGCTGAACGGATCTGAATGAAATTTGATACAGAGATAGATTATAGTCTGGAATAACATATAGGCTACTTTTTATCCCGGAAAAATATACGGTTCCCGAGGGATAGATTTGTTTTTGTTTTCGCTAATTGATAATATTAGTGACTACTACGAATAGATTAAAATGGATTAGTTTTTAGTATTCGTGTGTTCTTGTTGTTGTTCATGTTTCATTACTATGTATTATTTACGTCACGTATTAGGTCAAAGCAAGCGTAAACAATCACCATTCAAAATCCGATGACATGTTATGCATGAGCTTAATATTTCAACACAATTTGTTGATTTAGTGGCTTCTAGGAGTGGCGTGTTCGGACAATTTATTTCGCCAATCTCGTGTAGAATGGAGAAAATAGGTTATATGTAGAATAACTTTTTTTTCACACTCAAATAGTTGGATGCATATCAATTGGAATTCTTTGTTGTACAGATGACGTAAGGTATGGTATTTAATTAAGAAATTTAAGAATTAGAAGTCTCGTGTTAGATCGTATAGAGGCGTCATATTTATTGGTATGTATCGAATCACACGCGCAGGTGAAACTGAAGGTGAAGTTTTTAGTACTAGATACCAGGTTAAACTATTATATACATAACTGATAGCGTCTGGCAATCCAGCCAGGCGTGAAGCTAAAAGATACATTGGGAGGTAGTGGGTTGCTCCTGGTATTTCTTTAATAGCAGAATGGCCCGTAGTAGCAACCCTTCGGCTGTTGTAATTTACATCGGCTAGCCGTTGGGGCGTCGTGGTTGAGTATTTTATTAGTACTGCGACGTCCCGTTACGACGGGAAAGGTTCTGTTGGTTTTTAGTGGGTAGTACAGGGTTTTCTAGTCGGTTGAGTTGAGTCCTACATAACCACCTATATGTCTCTCGGTAGTATGTGTAAATTAATTTTATAATGTGAAAAAACATTCATATACTGCGTGTGTAATATGCCTGGGAACTTTTAGTAGAGTCTGCCATGCCGACTTTATTTGTCCGAATCAAATAGTAGCGTATCTTGTATATGAGCAACGTAAATATTGACACATAAATGTTTTTTCGTATATCGGAAACTTTTGTTCATTCTTTTTTTCAATTTCTATAAGTTTATTTTCGCTGGCTAGAATATCTTAATATATATATTTCTTGTGTGCGTGTGTATGTGACTGAACTCCTCCTAAACGACTGGACCAATTTTGATGAAATTTTTTGTGTGTGTTCAAGGGGATCTGGGAATGGTTTAGATTCACAATTTGAATAATAATTTTCATCAAAAAAATTATTAAAAAAAGTTTGAAATTTTCAAATTAAAGACGTGTAGACAGGACAACGTCTGTCGGGTCCGCTAGTATATGTATGTATATTTTGCGCAAATATTTGGTCAATGTTATAGCGCTTTTGATGAACCTGCTTGAAAGTGTACAAAGCACTTTTTGATTGTTATATGCTTAATTAATTACCTTTATTATTATTTAAAACATATATATATATATATATATATATATATATATATATATATATATATATATATATATATATATATATATATATATATATATATATATATATATAATATATATGTTTTAAATATTATTATTAATATTATATATTAATATTAGTTTATACATAGCTTCCATCTTCCACAATCTACTAGTCTAGAGCACAACTTTGCTATATTTCATCAGATCGGGATATGCACGATGTTGGAAATCAGTTGTGATTTTTTTATCGATTTAATTTTTAATTGAAAATGAACATATAAGAAAATATTCGTGACATTTAATTTTATCTTTATCTATCATCGACGATGTTAGATTTGCAATACTCACAAAACTTTCGCTACAGATGTTATTGTACAAATGAAACTCAAAAGGCTTAGACTTTCCTCACTTGAAAGCTAGAAACTTCATTTATATGTAAGTTTCCGTACTCGAACAGTCAGAAGATGTCACAATATTTACATACTTCATACAATAGCGAGATGACTTTAAAGATTCATAGGAAATGACTAACGTGTTTACTCTAACATGTTTCCGGTAAAGTTTAGCACACCTTAAATGGTGTTTATGTGATGTTAACGAATATTATTTATTTACCAAATTATTATTTATTTAACATATCTAGTGTTTTTGGTATTGAAAATTTATTTTTATTTTTAGTAAATATGTACATTTATTTATTTAAATACATTTAGATAAATCTGCCTAGTGATTGGCTAATTGCTTGAAATTTTGTATACAGTTCGAGATTATAAAGCTCAGGAACATGGTATTTAAAACAGAGATTCAAACTAAAATAAATATACAAAAAGATATGATATCTAAAAGAACCGGTGCGACTGGAGCATTTCTCCATTGTTGTAATATAAAATTATTCTCATACACTTTAAAACTTTACAGTTAGTTGAAAAATATATAATAATCCCATATTAAAAAAGTTGTAATGGTTTTTAAATACTTTATTTAAGTGGATTAAATTTTACTGACAGTTAATTGGCTGACACAGTGAGCTATTTACCTAAATAAGTTTCTATATTTAAATACATATGTAAAGTGAAAGGGTTGTAAGGTAGTAGTCGTACGAGATTCGGCTGCAAGATTGCTACGTTCATCGAGTATTTAATCAAAATCAATTTTTTATATACAATGATAAAAGGGACAATATGTTTCGGCCGAGTTGCCTATTAAAATGGACCCGCTTATTATTTTTAAATTAAATTAATAATAATTGACTTGTTCGAATAAAATCGATTCACTTATTATTAAAATAATTGTATATGAAAAATTGATTTTAAGTAAATACTCGATGAACGTAGCAATCTTGCAGTTGGATCATAGACCATAGGCTCTTCATACCGTTCTCAGCTAACAGACACGCTTTATAAATAATCCCTAGAGAATGAACATTATTAAACTATATTACGATTATACTTTCAAAATTTGTTTATGACTTACTTTATAAAATAGTATATCCATTTGAATATTTTCATACCGATGAGAATTCCTAAAATAATTTTGCCAAAATATGTATAACATGAGATTTAAGATTTAGTCAATGTAGAACTATTAAAGAAATAAATCTTATATTTTAAAAATAAACAACGTATTCAACAGTTGTTACGTTTGGACGTTGATTACTATGACAGGTAATCGTGAACATAAGTTGCTTTCTCAACCTTTTGGTTGCATTATTCATGTACACAAATTATAAGATTAGATGCTTCGGGCTATAGCGATAAACTTTTGATTATACCTCTCTCTTGAAACTAGGTTTGTAACCTATTTTAAGTGTAATATACTCGATGTACGTCTGGTATGAAAGCTTGTAAATATAAACTAATAAATATATAATACTGACTTACGTTTTAACGTTTAGTATATATTTCTTAGAGATGGGATATTTTCCCGTAGTAAAAAGCATCCTATATGTTGACCCGGATAACCAACTACCATCATACCAAA